GAATTCTGGTTCTTACTGTCAATGGAGTTAAGCTAGGGACACTGGAAGACATGTATTTTAAGTCTAGCAGAGAGAATTACAAATTTTTGGAAGCCAGCCATTGAAAGTTGGACATTTGGTATTAACAAGTTTCCACTTAGTATAAAATTAGCAGCTCAAGCTGTAATTATAGTATGTGCTCCTGAAAAGTGAAATCCGTCCAACTCCACTGTGCAGTCCCTTGTATTCCTGCCATACAAAATTATAGAGCCTCCGGAATTTTGTCCTTGTGTTCTCAGTGTATTAGGGAATCCATTTTAGCTTCTACCTTTTGTGTCAGAAATCATATAGCTAGCTATTGTCACTTCATCCTTTGACGCACAGAATGCTTTCATCAGGATTCTGGGCTTCCGTGCAACGAATGTGAATGTGAACTCTCAACTCCAAATAAAACATGGTTTGACCATTTAATAAGGTGAAAGGCAGCGAGAACACCATTTGTGTTGCTGGTTTGATTTGGTTTGGTTTGGTTTTGTGTATTCCAGGCTAACTGAAGGCTCTCCATTCTCCTCCTTTATCCTCCTAAGTGCTGGTATTACCGGTGTGCACTGATCAAGTTCGAAACATCATTCTTGTTAAGAGTTTAAGGGCTATAAAACTGACTGTCTGAAAAGATAGTGTTTGTATCAGAAATTTTAAAGCCTGTGTCTGTTTACTTCTAAAATAATTTTAAGTAAATTTTCTAAAAAGTACTAGCAAAATGAAATCTATGGGATATACCAAGACTGGGATTCTTAGAGAAAACATTTCTGATGCCTTTTAAGAAAAATTTCCAGTGCAATATGAAACTGCAATTAGCCTTAAGGGTTTGTACGTAAAGCAGTTGCTGATAACATTGATGAGATACACAGGACAGTCTAGTTGATTGCCTAAAAGTAACAATTAGTTTCTGGACTGCTGAGCTCATAAAGCTTGATTTTATATAAACAAGACTGTAATACTTGATTTAAAAAAAAATAGTGCTCAGGTTGCTGTTGTTTATTTGGCTTTCAAAGTATAATTTCCAAATGTGAGGAAAAGGTTAAAGCAGACCAACTGTTAACAGCAGAGGCCCGTGAGAGTGAGCCTCAGGCTGCCTTGTGTGGAGGAGCCCGAGGTCCAGGCCTTCTTCCCTGACTGCGGCTCCAGCTCTTCCAGCAGGTGTCACTGTCTGTCAGCCATGGAAGGGCAGGCTGCAGTCCATCCCAGTGTTCTTCACATACCATGACAAAATTGCAGGAGACATTTACTTTGGGAAGAAAATGTTGCATCCATGTTCTTTTTCCTTCATGAGCTGAGATGCATTAAAGGAGGAACTTTTTGTGTGGACACAAAGTTCTACTGAGTATTGGAAACATTTAGAATGAGCAGGGTGTGTCTCGGGAGACCTAAATCAAATGGAACTTTGATGGGCCATTTATTTACAAATTTGCTAAGCAGATATGAGATTTGTTTTTCTGTTCTGCAGTCTGTGATAGCTACAGGGGGGTCTTCGACACATCACAAAAAGAACAGTTGCAGCCAGGCACTGATGGCTCAGGCCTGTAATCCTAACTACTTTGGGAGGCTGAACACCGGAGAATCAATGGGCTGAGGCCAACCTGGCAGAAAAGTTCATGAGAGCCATTCTTATCCCATAGCTGAACACCAGTGGGGCGCGCATGCCTGCCACCCTATGCTACTTGGGAAGATGAGATTCAGAGGACCATTGGTCTAGGCCACATTGGCAGAAAAGCCTGGGAGACTCCATATCAAGGGAAGAAGCTGGGTGTGATGGCATGTGCTTGTCACCCCAGCTAGAAGAGAAAGCCTGCAGTGTGAGGATCATAGCCACCAGGCAGCAAATGAAACCTTATTCAAAAAATGACTAGTGAAAAGCTGGGCTGAAGTGGTGCCCAGCACTAGCGAACACAAGGTCCTGAGTTCAAATCCCTGTATTGCCAGGACACGAACAGCTGCATTATAGGAAGAAGTCATTGTGTCCTACTGAAATAATTAATAAAAACTTAGATTCAAGTCCCATCTTTATTGTTTTCAAGCCCTACAGGTTTTCTAACTTGCTTGTAGAAGGTAGGTCCAATACCATGAGGTTGTCATTTGTTTTAAATGTGGAAACATAGTAGTCAGTTAAGATTTTCTAAGAAGGGCCAGATGTGTTGTTTGTCACTGTCTGTCACTAGGCTTTGTAATTGGAACACAGTAGACGTGTGCCACCCATCTTGTCTTTGTTATTGTTTGCAGAACATCAGCCCATTTGAGAAATAGGTACTGATCCAGTACTCATTTGTAGTTTCCGAACTGTTGAGTGGTTGTCCCTTCAGGAACTTCTGGCACAGTGCATTCAGGAAAGGATTCCATTCTCTCCTTGTCCCTGAGAGGGAAACCTACCGAAGGATCTCAGTCCCTCCTTCCACCTCTCCACATTCTGTCCACAAGAAAAGCTACCTTGTGACTGCTACTAATCCTGACCTGATATTTGGGTGACCAAGGCAAAATCAGATTGGTGGAGCCAAATAGTTGAAGAATTGGAGAGTATTCTTTTTCAAATTGTTTATATGTACTTTATAAACTGAAATAGAACTCAAGATAATTCTTGAAAATAACTATACATGTATGAATTTTTAAGTATAACCCCGAAACTTGAATAGATTGAGAAAATACAAGATATTTGCAAAATAAGTTCAGTTATTAGCTTGTGTTCTTTTTGGGGATTGCTTTTTGTATATTCTGTTGGTAATTAGATAATTAGATGAAGTCTTTAATATCTGTACCTATAAACACTAAATGCATGCATATTTATAATAAGCTCACCTAATGACTATAATTCATTGTTGACCTTTCTGTCATTCTGTAGTTAGATTTTTCTAAACATAACTGAATGTGAAATATTTAGTGTAGACTAACATGGGTTTAATTCTCAGCTCTGACACTTGTGAGTTGTGGGCTCAACACTTAAAAAGCAATTAACTGCATTTAAAATTTTTTTAAATAACTTGTTCCATTCTGAACAAGTCAGATCCTTAATGGGCCCCCGTTCCCACTGTGGTCCAGTGGTGCTGATTTATCTGGAGTGCTGAGGCAGGTTCTCCGGGGGGCAGATGCCAGGAAGCAGAACAGAACCATCTTGTCATGGATATACACTTGAAACAAAATACAGAAATTGATATGAGAAAGCTCTTAGGTGGTAAAAACGTAAAATGTGGATCTAGGTTAGACAGATAGAGACATCTCCTGAGGTTCTAACTTAAGCAGTAGAAGGGTTGGAATTGATTTTGAGAATTGATAATTTCCTAATAAACACTAGTTAAAACGCAGCTCAGAGAAATCTTGCTTGAGGATAACGCACAGGTGAATGCCCACAAGTTTCGGAGTGGATACATTTTATTTATTCAGCAGAGGAAAATCAAGACATGGAGCTCTGGGAGAAATGTGTTTTAATAGGCTTTTTCAAGAGATCATTTTCATGATACGAAAAAATTGCTGAACCTAGAACAGGGACTTTGTGAGAACTCTGCCCAGCTGTCCCCTGCTAGCTTCCTATGTAGCCTTAGGTAAGGTCACGAGTCAACACTAAGCCAGTAACTTCACTCAGCCAGTCCTTCCCATTCTCCAGCTGTCCACTGAGGTGACGTACCGCACCCTTCCCTTCTGTATCCCTATCCCACAATTAGCGACTCTCTACTATCCTTCTTCTACTATCCTACTATGCCGCACCCCTCTCTGTCCGGCTCCCATGCCATCTAGTCTCCACATCTCTGCCTCCTGAGCTCTGCTCCTCAGCCTTCTCCGTCAAGACCAAAGCTATTGATTGGTTGTTTGAGGCTCTGCTGTGTTGACTATTGGTCTGGCTGTGTGTCATCGGGAAGGAAGCCTGAGGGTAATGCGTATCACTTTATAGGCACGTGACCTTCCCATGCACACATCACACTGACCTTCGGAGCACCGTCCAGCGCAGGACGCTGCTCTATAAACTGAGTATTTTCCCTTTGTAAATATTAAGTATTTTTGTGGAAATACTCTGAGATCCTATAAATATCCTGTTGTATATTCATGGCTCTCGTCGGTGATAAGCACACTGATTCATTAGAGTTTTCTGTGAGGAAAAGTTAGCTCTTCTCCATGCATTCACTGATTCATGCAATCATTCGTTCGTGGATAATTCATACAAACTCAAAGACATATGTTTTGGGCCTCAGATTCTAACCCAATACTACTGTGATCGTTTGCCTCACATAGGTTCTAACATTGAATACAGACACAGAAAGTTCATTGAAGAAAACGCCTGACTTTCTAAAGTGTCTTTGCTTTCTAAGAAAACGAGTATCTAATTTTCTGATGTTTCCAGCAAATGGTAAAAATTTAAAACCAAGTCACATGAGTGAAAATTTTGAGACTGTTACCGGGGCCGTTCTAAATCTTCTTGATAAGCCCAGTCTCGCGTGGCGCTGTGATGACCTTAACAGTGGCTTTCAATGATGCCTGTCATCATGAAACAGGTCAAATCATATCTAGAAAAAAATTGACAGGAATGTTTCATGTTTCTCCTATCCTAAAGGAAAATGAAACAGAAGGCTTAAATAGTAGGAGAATAGTACTGGTCAGAGAATACAAATATAAAGGAAGTGATTTTGCACATAGATCAAATGCCATTAACTTTTTCATTTTAGTTCAACTGAAGGAATATACCAAAAAAAAGTAGCTGAATTAATTTTGTTAATTTCTTGCCCCATTTGCAGTTTCAGCTGCAATGTTGGGGACTTTCCCTTGCCAGTTTTCTTTTTCTGTTCCACCCTTTTTTGTGCATGTTCCATGACAAACCTCCTCTCCAGGTTGTGCTCCTCATAAGCCTGCAGGGCCTCTCCCTGAGCTCCTGGTGGCTCTGTGGATCTCCCCTGTCTTATATTCCTCACAGTGTTGCCTGGTTTCTAAACATAAAACATTGTAGAACATCGTATAACAAAGCCTCTTGGTTGTTTTATTAGATGAGAAACAGAAATTCGGTTATGAACGCTCTGGATGTGATCTTGAAGACTCTGATGGCCCGGATGAGGATGATAATGATAATGAAGAGGATGACGAAGACAGCCAGGCAGAATCTGTCCTGTCTGCCACACCCTCGGTCACGGCCAGCCCACAGCATCTTCCATCGAGGAGTGGCCTTCAGGATGCCGGGAGTGTGGACGAGGACCTCAGGATTAGCGAATGCTTCTCTGGGTCTCACACAGACCCGATGGATGTTCTGCCTAGAGCATTGCTCACCAAGATGACCGTGCTGAGCACAGTGCAGTCAGAGCATAGCAGGAAGACAAACGCACCGGCAACAGCCAGGCAGCAGGCTGCCAAAGATGAGGAGGAGATGGCTCCTTCCAGAGATGATTCCAGGTCACCCAGAAGCCCCTGTTATCAGATGTTTGTGGACTACCCCGAGTCTGAAGTTGTGAGCGGCTCTGTGGCAGGAAAGGCTGTCACTCCAACACAGGTAGATGATTGCTGGTGGTTCTTTTCTCCTTTTATATGTGGAGCCTAATGGCTTTAAAAAAAAAATTACACACCTACCCAATTCATTGATGGCCAAACTGGCTTATGCTATGATGTTACTACTGGCACTAATGACCAAAAGTCTCTTATGTTTGTTGGAGCCTGGCTAAGTGTGTGAACAGGAATCCACGTTACAAATCTGTAAAAGTAGCAAATGACTCTTGAAAAATAAACCCTCTTATTATTATCTGCTTTTTGACAATCAAACCTCAGATATGTGTGTGCCAATTTCTAACATATACTCTGGTACCTGCTTATCTCAGGGTCTTTGCTGAATTGTTTCTCAGATGGTGTTGACATGGTGGTGGGTTTGCAATGCATCATGTAAATGCAAAAGTTTTGTGATTGCCCTCATTGGCCAAACAGCTGCCTGTTTCCATGACAAATTTAACATGACCCCAAAAAGTTTGAAGAAGTTCACATTGCTTGGAGGAGCAAATTATAGTGACAGCGTGGGAAACCACCTACCAGGAACTCTTGATGGCCAGCCATAGGCTGTGGGAGGCCCGGGAAGTGTACAGTGAGAGGCCCTATTATTCCTGGCTTCCCCATCGCCAGCAAGGAATTCTGGGAGGAACATATTCTTCTCCCTCCTCACTGATTTGTGTTGAGTAGTTTCATAGGACTTTTCTAAATTGGAAAGGTTTTTATTTGCTAGCTAACACTGAAGAAAAAGAAAAGAAAGCCAGTCACTGGTGGCTCACTTCTGTAATCCTAGCTACTCAGGAGTCTTAAGATCTGAGGATCAGAGTTTGAAGCTAGCCTGGGCAGAGTTTGAAGCTAGCCTGGGCAGGAAAGTCAGTGAGACTCTTATCTCCAATAAGTACCCAGAAAAAGCTGGAAATGGTGCTGTGGCTCAAGTGGTAGAGCACTAACCTTGAGCAAAAAACCCAGGCCCAGAGTTCAAACTCCAGGACATGCCAAAAAAAAAAAGAAAGAAAAAGAAAAAAATATATATATAAGCTTAGATTTCTCTACTCCAGATGAAATCAGTATAATTTAGGTAAATTCTATACATATTTTAGTATAAAATGTGGTGATGTTTAGGAAAGTTCCATGCAAGATGTGTTCCACTTTTTTTACTGGAAAAGGAAGAAATTTAACAATACAACAGAGGGTTGTTTTTTTTTCTAATTGGAAATGTATTTCTAAATCAAAACATAATGAAACGAAGTTGCTGCAAATGACATGTGTTTTTACCTCCTTTTGAAGAAGAGACTGAGCAGTAACCTTTTACCTCAGCGATTTGGGATACTCTTCCAGGCCAGGCTCATTTTCCTCTCTTGTCTTTTAGGACATGCCATTGGTAAGACTTTCTCCTGCCACAGTGGAGCTCAGCCCGCAGCCCGCAGCCAGCATTGCAATCTCTCCTGCCTTACCTCATCCTGACACTCAAGACCAGAAGCAGCAGACCACCCCTCACCCACCTCCAGGCCTGCCTTCTCCCCAGACACACTTGTTCAGCCACCTCCCCCTGCATTCCCAGCAGCAATCAAGGACTCCGTACAACATGGTTCCAGTGGGGGGGATCCACGTGGTGCCCGCTGGCCTCACCTACTCCACCTTTGTACCCATTCAGGCCGGGCCCGTGCAGCTCACCATCCCTGCCGTCAGCGTCATTCACAGGACCACAGGCACTCCTGGGGACACCATCACGGAAGTGGCCGGTACGACAAATCCTCCTGGAGTACCTGAATTGAGCAGTGTTGTGCCATGTTTTCCCATTGGCCAAATCCGTGTGCCGGGCCTTCAGAACCTAGCAACCTCCAGCCTGCAGTCCCTCACCTCACTAAGCATGGAAACCGTCAATATTGTAGGTCTCGCCAACACCAACATCACCCCACAGGTCCACTCCCCAGGACTTGCTCTCAACGCCGTGGGACTGCAGGTGTTGACTGCGAACCCTCCTTCCCAAAGCAGTCCTGCCCCTCCAGCGCACATTCCTGGGCTCCAGATCCTGAACATAGCCTTGCCAACCCTGATTCCCTCAGTCGGCCAGGTAACCGTGGAAGCCTCCGGAGCTTCTGAAGTTCCAGCTGCCCACAGCAAAGCAGCCGAGATGCAGCCCAAGCAGACGCCTGCAGCCAGTTTAAGCCAGGTCAGCAGGACTGAGTCTCCTCGGGGGTCAGCTAAAGTCCTGCAGGAAAATGCAAAGAAAGTCCTGGGTCCATCGGCCCCTGCAGGTGACCAAGCAAGGCTCGATGGCGCAAGTAAAGCGGACTCTGAGAGGGCCATCCTGGGGAACCACACCAAGCCCACGCCCGAGCTCACGTCCTTGCCTGTGCCAGGGGCACTGCAGAAGGCTCAAGCCCTGGGAAAGCCGTCGGGGCTGCGCACTCTCTCTCCAGACAGGCAGGTTCACAGGCCTCCAGCCCCACCCAGCAGGCCGCCCGCGGTGCACTTCAGCGACGTGAGCAGCGATGAAGACGAGGACAGGCTCGTGATCGCAACCTAGTGGTTTATTTTTTATCTTTTATCATTTTTTTTAAAAAAAAATAACACTTAAAGGTTTCTTTTTAAAACCCTCTTTTCCTTAAAGCACATTTTTCTGACATGAACTCATGACTAATCTTTGTGCAATCATGAACTTTTGACCAATAATTGTTTTTGTGTCAGCTCCAGCCGTTTTTGTATATGTTGTATAGACAATTGTGCCTTTTAGGAGTTTTACGTTTAGACACTGTACAGATTGTTGAATATCTATATGCATAAAAATGTTATATATGTATATGAAAACCAGGTAGTTATTTGTGTTTAGTAAGAAGAACCAGTCAAATAAATCAAATGATTAAATTATATGTTGCACTGTTAAATATAAATTTTTATGGCCGTGGGGCAGTTTCTGTGTATAAATTAGTATGTAAACCCCATATTTATTGTATTCATGTTAGTCTTTGCAAATGGATCTGTCCTCCTCCTTGTGTAAGACAGTAACTTTACACTTCAGGCAGATTTTCTGTGTAATGAAATGTTTCAGTAAAATATTGTTTACTGACTTTACCCGTGCTTGAGTTGTGCCATCATTTTACCATCAGTAGATTAGCAGTCTCCTTTCAGAATAATAAGCACAGGTTGTGTGCCTTCCCTATCCCACCCTTAGCTTTGAGAAACAGGAAGTGTAGTCCTTTCTCTACCCTGTGTTGGATGACTGCAGCCCAGCAACGAAGAGACCAGTTTTTCTTAGCTGTGAGAAAGAAGTTTGCAACCATGCACTTGGTAGGTGATTGGATATTTCGGAACACTTTGTATAAATACATACAACAGCTGAAATGAGCAAAGTTCCTAAATATAGATATGAAAGTTCCTGATACACAAACTAAGGAGAGGATGGTCTTGAGAGCTTGGTATGCTTGAGATTCACAGAGCCCTAGGCTGGACATTAACCAGGGCTCTTGCTTTTTGGTCTTAACCTGTTTCACAGAAAGCTCTACACAGCTCTAAACCCTAGAGAGCCAAGATTTATGGAAGGACCAGATACAGTCTGGGAGGTTTGCTGTCACTCTTGCAGAAAAGTGGCAGGAAGTAAGGTGCAAGTATTTCTACCCCCTCTATTTGCATTACCACCCAAGGATTACAGATGCTAGGTTTGTGAAAATCACTTTTTGTTGGAATTTGAATAGCACACAATTATCACAATGTGGTGGTATTTCTAAAGGCCTGCTTCCTACATATTTGGCCCTGGATTAAATATTCTGTGATGTTTGGATGTTTTCTTAAAAGTTTTATAATTCTCTAAGATAACTTAATCATACTGTGTACCTTGAACATTTCAAGATCCACTACATTATGTATATACCATTGATATTAGTGATTTTTATGATTTAAGGTTGCTTTTCAAGTATTTTCCTAGTACAGAGTAGTACAGAGTCATTGGCTAGAATGGTTCAATTTAAGATTTTCCAACTTCACAGTAGGAGGAAGCGATCTGTAATACAAAGATATTAGTTGGGATTTGGACCTTTTCCCAGGCTGGTGTTAGGCTGGAGACTGGGCTGCAATGGTAAGGGCTGCAGCAGCCAGCAGCCCTGCATTACTAAGGGCAAACTACTGACACTACAGCATGCTGTGTTGGCTAAATAAGGACACTTGAAAGGTTGGGTACAGTAAGTGCATTTTTGACTTAGCAACATTTTCAGCCTGTAATGGTTTTTCAGGATGTAACCTCACATAAGTGAAGGATCGTCTATCTGTATCTGAAATGTATGCTTGAGTGCCCAAAACACAGGGAATAGAATTTTTCCAGTAATTTTTCCCAAGGTGCACTGTCTAAATTTCCCAAGTGAAAATGATTTGCAAATAATGTAATTCAGAGAGCTGCTGAGACTTCATTTTGTGCTTTTATGCAAGACCAGGTCATCTACAGAACTAAGGGGCAATGGCATAGCTGTTTTCTTTGGTAAGATAAATTATTGATAGGAAAGTGAAGGCCTACTATGGGACTGGGGATTATAGCCCAGTAGAAGAGTATTTACATAGTAGCATGCATGAAGCTCTGGGTTCAAGACACTGCTGAAAGTAATAATATACTATTAATACTAATACTAGTACTAGTACTAATAAAAACAACATAAAACAACTTTTAATATCTTTTCATATGAGTCGACCACTATGCCCCAAACAGAAGTGTTGGGAAAAAATAGCTAAAGAGCTGAAGGTCATTTCTCTAACTTCCAAAAATGAGCATGTATGTGTTATGAACATTTACTATAAGTTAACATAAGCCAAGAGCATTCAAGTAACGCATTTTCATTTCTGAAACTTAGGCCACAGGGATAATTACTTCTTTCAGAAAGATAATTAACAGATGATACTTAATGAAGAGATTTTGGTTCTCGTTTTATCTTTTTTTTTTCATAACACAGCCATGATTTTCCTATCACAGAAACTGTATAAATAACACTTTTTCTCATTAATCCCTGACCTAAATTTTAAATGATGCCATTTACTAAGGATTATGGTATATGATCATTATTCTGACTGGAAGACTCAAATATCTTTCTCGATGTGTGCTCAGATCACACTGTAGCTTCAGTCCACTCATTTTTTTGTGTGTGCTTTCCCCCTGCTTTCCGTTTAGTTTTACATTTTAAGAATGAGTTTAAGCAACACCAAAAAAAGTTGACTTTCACTAATTTTGTTATAAGGCCGTTTGTAAACTCTTACGTTTGCTACATCTTAGTATGGGAATCTTTCTTCAATTTCCCATGACCTGAAAGCATTATTTAATATTTAGACAGACAGATTCGCAATGTTATAGTGACAATAATTTCCTAATGTCATAAAAATAGAGAAACTATATTTAGAGCAAGAATAACACCATGCTTTATAAAATCTAAAATCATGAAGTACTATACGTAAAAGTCCTGATTTTTAGTCTTTGTACATAAGCTTGATAGAGATCCTGCGTGCACATAGATCTGTGTTAGTACTGTAGACACATCTGCTCTTGGCTGTTTCTTGTCTTCTGAGGTTTCCTGAGGCTTGGGTCAGAGGACTCTCACATCTGCAAAACTGAGTAATGATGCAAGTCACAGCCAACTCAATACCACACAACATGCAAAGGAAATTAGAAGATACACTTTCCAAGCTAAGGGGCATACCAGTGTTTAAGTCAGTATATAAACTAGAGAATCTTAAGAGTAATCAGTATCTATCTTAGAAATCATAGACTATAAACTTGAGAGTTGAAAGTTTTTGGCTTACATAATAAAGGAACATCTTCCATTTATAAGGGATTGCTGTATTTTTTTCTTTTTTTATTGTGAAAATACTGTACAGAGGGGTTACAATTACATGGGCATGATAATGAGTACATTTCTTATCAAGCATTGTTGCCTCCTCCTTTGTTCCCCCCCCCTCGGCCACCAAAGTTGTAAAGTTCGTTTTTCTACATAACGTCTTGTACATCTCATTGTTGCAATGGGTCCACCTGTATCCCTATTTAAACAATTTGGTTTTTCCCTTCCCCTCAACAAATTATACCAACATCAAATACAGTGAAAATGGGGTTTTTTTTTTGTCCTCCCTCCCTCCTGTCCTCCCTCCCTCCCTCACTCCTGTCCTCCCTCCCTCCCTCCTGTCCTCCCTCCCTCCCTCCCTCCCTTCCTTCCTTCCTTCCTTCCTTCCTTCCTTCCTTCCTTCCTTCCTTCCTTCCTTCCTTCCTTCCTTCCTTCCTTCCTACCTTCCTTCTTCTCTTTTTTCATTCTTTCTCTTCTCTCTTTCTTCTTCTTTTTTCATTATTTTGTGCGGGTACTGGGGCTTGAACTCAGGGTCTCACACTGTGTGTCCCTTAGCTTTTTCACTCAAGGTTAGCACCCAACTACTTAAGCCACACCTCCACTTCTGACTTTTTGCTGGTTAATTGGAGATACGAATCTCACAGACCTGCCTGTCGGGGCTGCCTTTAATTGTGATCCTCAGATCTTAGTCTCTTGAGTATTAAGGATTTATAGGCATGAGCAATAGGCACTGTATACATTGCTCTTTTTTTGTGTATGTGATGATCCTGATGAGCTATTTTTGCTCAAAGCTAGTGCTCTACCACTTCAGCCACAGATCCACCTTTAACTTTTTGGGTAGTTAATTGGAGGTGTGAGTCTTAAGAACTTTCCTGCCTGGGCTGGCTTCAAACAGCAATCATCAGATCTCAACCTCCTGAGTAGCTAGGTGTGAGCTACAGATGCCTGGCTTAGTGCTCTTTTAATTTGGTAGATTCAATATATTTACTGGAGAGATGTATTGCTGACCCAAAGGAGGAAGATCAACATCCAAAGAGATCCCACCCCTTGGAGTGATCTGCTGGATAGAAGGCAGAATTTAACGGGAAAACAAAGCTCTGGGAGGTTGAAAATGTGACTGTGCTAAATTAATAGGGTAGCAGTTTCATGTATACCGAGTCCAATAGGTATCATTTTCATCTTCCTCCTCCACAAGGAAAAACATCATCTTGAGGAAATTAAAGATACATTATTCAGTCACAGGTAAAAGAGAGCCAGTCTCCCATAATCCCAGTCCTTCGAGTCTCTTGTTATGGTTGGAATATGACATGTCCCCCTCAGATTCCTTGTTGAATGCTTCATCTTCAGCTGATAGCTATTTTGGGAGGTTCTAGAAACTTTAGGAGGTGGGTATCTGGGCCCAGGCCCTTCCTCACCCTCTGCCTCTCACCCACCACAATTAAACAATAACTTCCTTCTCCACAGGCTCCCACCACCATGATGTTCCTTGACCACAGACTCATTATTGCTTCACTAATAGACACAAGTGCTATGGACTGAGATTCCTCTGAAACCATGAACTGAAATAAATCCCTCCGTCCTTTAAGTTATCCTGTCAAGAATTTTGTCACAGTGAGATAAAAAGTTACACATCTCCTCAGCTGAGATGTTTGTACTCTGACCTTGAACCAGATACAGACAAACACATTTCATGAGATCACTAAGGTCTAGAGGCCAAACTCAGAGTGGCCTTGATTAGAGGCCTAAAG